CCAAATTGATGATTGGAAGGCCCAACACTGGCTGATTAACAGTGTCGATGACAAGACAAGAACCTTCACTGGTACGTGCTGAAAGGCTTTGTCGACATTCGCAGGGTGTCAAGAAGACCATCTAAAAGACATGAACATTGCGAGGCAATTGGCCCTTCATCATAAGCCTTCTCCTCCAATGGGGTGCCTTTCACGTTCGACTTCCCAGGTGATCTCTTGCTTTGGATCGACGGGCGGCCCTCCGCGGAGATGTCGCCCGAGGAGGTGTCAGCCGAACTGCCAGAGGCCCAGCGTGGCCCCGCTCGGCCGGGGCGCAGCGAGACGTCCGCGGTCTGGACTGAACCAGGGGCGGCCGAAAACCCTCTGAGGCGAGGCACCCGACCCTTGCGCCTATGTTTCGTGTTTGGGAAGCCAAGTTGCCCGAGTGCAGTACGTAGCAAAACACAGGTTGTTTTTTTTCCCTGTGCGTTTCATCGTCGCTTGGGTCGCCATGCTTCTAAGGCGGCCTGGATTGCCGAGTCGATCCCTAGCGAGGCAGTAGATGATGGTACTGTCTAGAATTGAGAATGGATAGATGGGTAGGTGAAAGAGAGGCTGCGTGAGGGAATCCAGTTGTAACGAGTCTGCTTGATGTGGGCGATGTTAGTGCTCTTGCTTTGCTCGACTGTGCTAGGTCTCCTGCTGCCTCTGCTGATGTGAACGAGCACATTGATCAAGAGCTGGAGGATGCACGGCGTATTTGTTGTAGTTTAGTTCCAAGAGGGCAGAGTCATTGCTCTCGATGTCGTCAACTTTTGGATGTGATGCGCTCACATTGTCCGAGGATCTTCGTAGTCGGCGACTCCATTTGCAGCAACTGCAGCAGAAGCTGCTGGAGGCACAATCACAGCAGCTGCAAGCAGCGAAGGAAGCAAAGGCGCTGGCCTTGCGTAAAGCGACTGGAACATCAGGAGGAACAGCCAGTCTGCCAGCGTCTTTGCCCGAGACTGGGGTGCTCATGGTCAGTGCATCAGGAGCAGCCCAGGCAATGCCTCCATCACAGATTGCACTTGCAGGGGCAACAGGCGTTGCCCCTCATGTTGCCACGCCCGGCATCCATGCTGGCTCTCTGGCTAGCACCCCTGCTGGCATGTATGCTGACGTCGTTGCTGGACCTCATGCTGGTGCGTATCCTGGTGCCGTTGCTGGTGTGCATGCTGGTGTGCATCCCTGTGCCGTCGGTGGTGCGCCTGCAGGAATGCATCCTGGTGCCGTCGCTGCTGGTATGCATCCTGGTGTTACTGGCGCGCCTGCAGGAATACATCCTGGTGCCGTTGCTGCTGGTATGCATCCTGGTGTTACTGGCGCGCCTGCAGGAATACATCCTGGTGCCGTTGCTGCTGGTATGCATCCCAGTGTTACTGGCACGCCTGCAGGAATACATCCTGGTGCCGTTGCTGCTGGTATGCATCCTGGTGCTGATGCTGGTGCGCCTGCAGGAATGCATCCTGGTGCCGTTGCTTTGGATGCTGAATCTGAGAAGTTCCAAGGGGAGCAAAGCCTTGCCATCCTGGGTTCTGAAGAAGCACAAGAAGCGCTGGAGCCGCTAGAGCTTGCAGAAGCCAAAGAGCCGGATGCCGAGCTCCGAGTGGAGCAAAGCTGTGCTGTTGTGGCTTCTGAAGAAGCACAAGCAACACTAGAGCTGGCAGAAACCAAAGAGAAGGACGAGTGTGAGGAGTCTGCCACCAAGGAGGTCGAGAACTCCGAAGCCTTGTTGGAACACCAGGAAAAGGAGAGGGACAGGGCGGACAGGGATGGAAAAGGAGGTGTATCTTTTCTTAGTTTTTTTTGTTAATCTATGATTTTTTCGTTCTGTTTTTTGGTATTTGGCTTCTGGCTTCTGGCTTCTCGGTGGCTTGTGGCTGCTGCGGCTTCTGTTTTCTGTGGCTTTTGGCTTGGTGGCTTCTGGCTTCGGTGGCTTCTGGCCCTTGTCACTTTTGTTAAAAGCCGATCAGTCAATCAATCTGTTGATCAACTAAGGAATTTTTTAATGCCAGCGGAAAACAAAGCGATCGATCTAATGAAACGCCCAGGAAAGGCAATGAAGAGATTAATCCGAAAGGCCAGCAAAGGACAACCAATAGACAACAATGGCAAGCTATGGAAATCAATCTATCGATTTATGCATTCTATCAGTCTTTCTATCTATGTAAGTATCTGTCTGTCTGTCTGTCTGTCTGCCTGCCTGCCTGCCTGCCTGCCTGCCTGTCTGTCTGTCTGTCTCGTTTCTTGGTTTGCTTGGTTTCTTGGTTTTCTGGTATTCCGGGTTTCTGTTGGTTTCTAGGTTTCTGGGTTTCTTGGAAGCCATTCCAACATAGCAGACCATTTGTGAGCCACTCAAGGGCAACATTTAGAGGAGGAAGGAGTCTGATGTGAGCCATCCGAAGATAACATTTAGACGAGAAGGGGGCCATTGCAACGTCGTGGGCCTTGCGAGCCACAATTGGAGGAGAAGGAGTCATTACCATTTGTGAGCCACTCAAGGGCAACATTTAGAGGAGGAAGGTGTCATTCCAACGTAGCAGACCCTTGGTGAGCCACCCAAGGGTGGAAGGTACCAGCCCAACGTAGCAGACCTTGTGTGAGCCACCCGGGATTTAGATTTCGAGGAGGTTTGTGAGCCACCCACCTGATTAAAATTTGGAAGAGAAAAGTTAAACCTTGTGTGAGCCACGAAGGGTAACATTTAGAGGAGACAGATGCCACTTTAAGGTACGTAGCAGACGTTTTGTGAGCCAATTGAGGGTAGAATTAGAGGAGGAATGCCCCATTCTAACGTAGCAGACCTTTTGTCAGTCCTCAGGGTGATGACGAGGATGATGATGAATACGTTGATGAAGTGGGAGCGGCTACACTAGACACTGGTATGTTGGAAATATTCTGCTGCGCTGAGCGCACTTTGGCAGCGCAGAAAGCGAAAATGAGTGGCTCGATTTCGTGAATGATTGCAAGCCTGTGTGTTCGTAAATGTTCCCGAAAAGTAATGAAGCGACCACCGAAAAATAAACAGAGATATCGGTGGAAACTATGGAAGTCCACCGAAAACCAAAAAACAACACAACAATTCAACAACAAAACTTCCAACATTATTCTGGGACCATGGAAATCTTGGACCCGCATCCTGAACAGGCAAATCAATGGTCCTTTTGGATCTTTAACCTTGCTATGCGGTGGTTGATGTGCGGTAAATGAAATCCACAAACTTTGGGGCAGGAGATTGCCTTGGCAAAGGCGGAGCGGGAAGAAGCTGCTGCAGCCCGGGAAGAAGCTGCTGCTGCTCGGGTGGAAGCCACTGAGCATGCCATGCAAGAGGTGCCAGACACAAACACACACACACAAAGCAGCTCAGAATCACAAGGATACAAACTGTTGAAATTGAATTTGCCGCAATATTCAGTTTTGCATAGTTTGTTGGCAGGTGGCCTTGGAAATGGAGCGCCTGCGTGAAGGTCAAAGCATGGCTGAGCTGGCTCGATCTGAGGCACAAGAGGCACAAGCCGAAGCGCTAAAGCAGGAAGGCAGGGAGGTGAGTCAGGAGTCATGCTGCTGGCCTTGTGGGTAGGGGAATCATGGAAAGTACAAGTTGTGAGGTTTCCCTGCTGAGCTTTCCCTGCGAGGTCAAGTGCAAAGAATGGAGCTTGAAGTGGCAGAAGAGGAGAAGGTTGCATTGAGCCGCTATGCAGCTTGCTTGATGATTGATGAGTTTGATTGTGGGTCAAAAGCCTTTGGGAATCTTTGGGATCCCTTGTTGTTTTGGGGATGGTTGGTTGCTTTGTTTCTTCTCATGCTTGACCCTCTTCAAAGTTGCAGCTTTTCCAGATATTTCGTCCACAACAGTATCGGCCCACCTCGTTAAGCTCTGAAGTTGTTTGTTTTACTCAGGCCGAGAAGGAGCAGGAGCTGCTGGGGGAGACCAAAGCTGAGCAGGAAGCTAGCGTGAGAGCTAGGACTGAAGCGCGTCAAGAGCTGGATGCCGAAGTGGACAAGCTCCGAGTGGAGCAAAGCCGTGCAGTCATGGCTTCTGAAGAAGCACGAGAAGCGCTAGAGCTTGCAGAAGCAAAAGAAAAAGTGACGCATGAGTGTGAGGAAGCTGCTGCCAAGGAGATCAAGAACTGGGAAGCCTTGTTGGAACAGCGAGAAAAGGACAGGGTTGATTATTCAAATATTCCTTGGGAAAAAGTTTGTTTTGGTTTGTTTTGGACCTATGGAATATCCTGAACCTCTATCCTGAACAGAGGAATCTGTCATCGGGTCGTTCTCTGGTGGACCATCTCAATTCTTCGCAGGAGATTTTTGCAGAAAGCGAAATCCGTGAACGCGCTCGCGATGCCGAAGCGCTGGTGCGCTACGAACAGCGGGAGAAGGAACTGCTTGTCCCAGCGATTGCCTTGGCGAAGGCTGAGCGGGAAGAAGCTGCTGCAGCTCGGGTGGAAGCCACTGAGCATGCCATGCAAGAGGTGCCAGACACAAACACAGACAAAGCAGCTCAGAATCACAAGGATACAAACTGTTGAAATTGAATTTGCCGCAATTTTCAGTTTTGCATAGTTTGTTGGCAGGTGGCCTTGGAAATGGAACGCTTGCGTGAAGGTCAAAGCATGGCTGCGCTGGCTCGATCTGAGGCACAAGAGGCACAAGCCGAAGCGCTAAAGCAGGAAGGCAGGGAGGTGAGTCAGGAGTCATGCTGCTGGCCTTGTGGATAGGGGAATCATGGAAAGTACAAGTTGTGAGGTTTCCCTGCAAGGTCAGGTGCAAAGAATGGAGCTTGAAGTGGCAGAGGAGGTGACCAAATGGGAATCTCAGCTGGCGGACAAAGAGAGAGGGGCATTGAGTCGCTATGCAGCTTGCTTGATGATTGATGAGTTTGATTGTGGGTCAAAAGCCTTTGCGATCCCTTGTTGTTTGGGGATGGTTGGATGGTTGGTTGCTTTGTTTCTTCTCATGCTTGACCCTCTTCAAAG